CAATTCAAAAAGGATGTTGAAAAATTGGAGCATGTCCAAAGGAGGGTGGCTAAAATGGTGAAGGGTCTGGCCACCATGCCTTATGAGGAGAGACTTAGGGAGCTGGGTATGTTTAGCCTGGAAAAGAGACAGTTAAGAAGTGATATGAAAGCCCTGTTTAAGTATTTGAAGGGGTGTCATATGGAGGATGGAGCAAGCTTGTTTTTTGTTGCTCCAGAGAATAGGAGCAACAATGGATGCAAGCTACAGGAAAAGAGATTCCACCTAAACATTAGGAAGAACTTCCTTACAGTAAGAGCTGTTTGACAGTAGAATACGCTTCCTTGGAGTGTGATGAAGTCTTCTTCTTTGGAGGACTTTAAACAGAGGCTGGATGGCCATCTGTTGGAGGTGCGTTGATTGTGAGTTCCTGCATGGCAGAATGGGGTTGGACTGGATAGTTCTTGTGGTTTCTTCCAACTCTATGATTCTCCCTAGCTATCCTTTCTGTGTTTTCAGTAAAACCCTCCTGTTGTGTGTTTTCTGAAAATCATCCCCAATAGCAATACAACTTCATTTATATACCACTTCATACCACACTAAGCAAATCTCTAAGTGGTTTACAACTGTAAGCTAATTGCCCCCAACAAGCTGGGTACTCATTTTAGTGACCTTCCCCCTAAACTGCAAATCCTGGCATGCCACAGGAGGCAGAAAGTGGAATAGTAGCACTATAAGGACTTTATCACACGGTGAAAAAAAGATGGGAGCGTATGCTCCCATAAATATTCTGCAATAACATGAAGATTTTCACACAACGTCACGTGACATAGCCATTATTGCTCAATTCTCCCATCGATAAAGTGGCAAAATTGTGCCGCTATTTATTCACAGAGAAATCTTGTTAATAGAAAGTGGCACAATTTTGCCACTTTATTCACAGGACAATCACACAATAATGGTGATGTTGTGTGAAAATCTTCGTGTTATTGCACGATATAGATGGGAGCATAGCAGCAGCATCACTAGGGGTGTGCAGGGTGTGTGGACCTCACCAGGTGACATCATAAAACGGGGTGACACCACTGCTCCTCAAACACCTACCTTTTGGCAGAAACAGGCTGTGACATTCATCTGCTTCCATTTAAAAAGCTTTAAGAGGTGGTGGGAATGGGGTGAATCTCAGTGGGAGGAGAAAGGAGAGGCCACCCAAAATGTTAAAATTAAAATTTCAAAATTAAAAATTAAAAAAATTAAACATTAATTTTAATTTTTAAATTCATTTTAAATTTTCTTTTAAAAAAATCACAGTTCTACCAAATCCTCACTTTTTCTAAGTAAGCACATTTAGGTTGGGCTTATGATATTGTAATTTGAAAATATAATTTTAATTTTAAAAGGTTAAGGTATTCTCCGTTGACAAGGTTGTCAAATCGTATTCGACCATAGGGGGTGGTGCTAATCTCCGTTACTAAGCCAAAGAGCCAGCGTTGCCAGAGACTGCTCTGTGATCATGGGGCCAGCATGATTGCACAGAATGCTGTTTACCTTCCCATTGAAGTGGTACCTATTTATCTACTTGCATTTGCATGCTTTCGAACTGCTAGGCTGGCAGAAGCTGGGATTAGTGACAAGAGCTCGTCCCATCATGCAGCTCCTGGGCCTCGAACTGCCAACCTGCTGATCCTGAAATCAACAGTGTCAGCACCTTAACCACTTGAGCCACTGCGTCCCTTAGTTTTAATTTTGCTAGTTGTTTATGTCCACTGTATTCCCTATTACCATGTATGAATGTGAGAGCTAGACAGTTGTATTATTATTATTATTATTATTATTATTATTATTTATACCCTGCTCTTCAGCCAAAAGGCTATCAGTTAAGAATGATGAAAGGAAGAAAATCAATGCATTTGAGATAATGTGGTGCTGGAGA